GAATGCTTCCTTTGAAAAAGAAAACGGAGAAATCCAGATGACAGTGTCTTCAAAATCAGGACATTTATTTAAAGAAAATGGAGAAGTTGAGGGTAAAGACAATGAAGATCACAACACAGTGAATTCTTCTACCATTAACACAGAACTGAGAAAGTCTCCGCATTGCTTGGGTGGCATTAAATGTGAAATAACTGCAAATACCTCAGCTTCATCTACTGATTTATCTAGTGAAGTGGACTTAAAACATGCACCAGCTTTACATACAACTAGAGTGAAGAGGACATATTCACTAGATTCGTTATTGTCATCTAGTAGGAACAGAGAGATCCTGATGAATCCCACTTGCCAGACTACTGATTCCATTGCAATGAATCCTGCAAATTGTTTGGTGGAAAAAGTGGGAATGCCAGGAGAAGCACACGCTCGGTTTCAGGCAGATGAAAATGATACTTCTAACATTGATAAAAAAAATCATTGTAGCAAAGCAACTACTAAGGAATCTGCAAAAAAAATGCAGAATGATGGTTTTCATTCATCCAAATCAAAAAGAGAGACAGTAAACAGTGAACTACAGCAGACAGAGGGAGAATCTTGCTGTAATCATCAAACAGAGAGTCCCTTAGAACTAACATTGGATGTCCAGATGCTTCATTCCAGTGTGACTGGGTTTCAAAAGAATACAAAAAGTGCAAACAAAGATAGTGATGCTGGAAACAGTGATGCACAGAGAATTGTGCCAACTGTAGCAAATGAGCAAAATACACAAGGCTGTATTTCTGCTGTGCATTTGCCTTCTAGTGAAAAAATACTTTTGTCACTTGGCAAGGAGTGCAAAGTAGACAAGTGCATAGCTACAGGTAATCCAGCGGCTTTAGTAGTGTCTATTAAAAATTATGAAGATACAGTCATGGACAAGGAAAACAGAAATGAAGAACTGAGTGAACTAGGGAAAACTATGCATGCACAAAATGATCATCAATTAATCTTTGTGGACAAGGATTCTAGTAAGGATACTAGTGCAGAACAGTTTGGTTTATCTTCTCTAGAAACTGAAGATGTTGAAGCAATGAAGGTTTTATCTGAGTTCACAGTAGAAAAGCTTGACAATGAATCATCTTGCCTTCATAGGTGTGAAAGTCTAAACTCTAACTTTCGTGAGCTGGTACCACCTCTCTCTGTTTCTTATGAGTTGTCTTTTGGAACTGGAAATTGTTGCTCAGCTTCTCATCTTCCTAGTTCTCAATCTGACAATCAAACTGCAGGGGAAAGAGAAGCCAGTTTAAAAGATGAGAGACAGACTTTTTCTTGTCCTGTTCTTGAAGATGAGAAGAACAAATCCCTTGAGCTTGTAGAGAAAAGCCTGTCAGGAAACTCAGTTCCTGTCCATGAGGTTGGTGCTGTTCCCCTTAAAACTGTTCAAAACATTCCTCCCAAGACAACAGTTGCACCCACAGAACATAACACAGCAAAGACTGAACTTGGGCCTTTAATCAGCACCGACAGGAGAGATAATGCTTTTGCTGCTGCTTCTAAAATAAAGCAAGCTGATACGTCTGAGGCTGTTCCTATTCCTTCTCAGTCCAGCGATTACGTCTCTCATATGTTCTCTCATATGCCTAAGTCAGAAAAAGAAGTTTTGGAGGTTTCACATTCTGCCTTGATATATGGAAGGAAGCCCTTACCTAACCATTGCCCTTTTGTCTGTGAAAAAGATGTTAGTGTAGACGACACTACTGACTCTCCACCTAGTTCTGAAGAAGTGAATATGACTATTTCTTCAAAACTTGATAACAGTAGTAAGCCTACAGTATCATCGACTCTACTTAATTCTTCATCTGGCAATCATCAAAAAGCACTTTCTGCCAGTAACTCCGAAAATGGCAAAATTGCCACATCTGCTGCTGCTTCTGAACAGAATGGCCAGTCCAGCTATATTTTTACTGCTGCTGAGTCAAGAAGAATTATCCCTGAGGACAGGATGACCAAGATGCTACTTTGTGCAGAAGACTCAAGAGCTGTGTGCCCAGACGGTTCTCTAGAGTTTGACATTACCATAGCTGAAGCTGATCACTCTGTTGCTAACGCAGACCTGTGGGGAACTAACATCCCCAAGTCTGCTTCACCTTCCAAAGAAACCTGCAACCTTCCTGTTTCTGCTGTTGAAACACTGAGGTTCGCCCAGAGAAGCAATAATTCCCCTAGTCATAGACCCAGTGGTGTGGGAGGGAATGTATGCGCTGCACAAAAGCCTGATGGCTTTGTGTTGACAAAGAAAATACCATCACCTATCTGCCCTTCGAAATCTTTGGAAATGGTATCTGAGCCAGTCTATACTGAGAATGTGCACAAAAATACCATAAAAGAGGTGGCTCATTATAATCATGTTCCTGCTATCTCAGAAACCTCTTCTAAAATTGGTAATCAAGCAGCTGTTTCACTTACAGTACCAAATGAGTTCTATTGTGCGAAAATTTTGAAAGATACAGACATGGGAGGGCAAGAACATGCTAAATTCCAAGAAGCTGCTCTTTTATTTAAAAAAGCTGAGGAAATAGTGGAGTCAGTTTTACACTTGGCTCTAGAAGAAATAATAGCAAAACAAGCAGTTGGTGTCTGCCAGGTTTGTGGGAGCAAGGAGAGTTTAATAAATCTGGATATTCTAAATGATCAGAAAACTGGAACTGTGCAGCTGGAAGCAGAAGAAATCCAGTCAGCTGTGCAATCATTAGAGCAGCTTAATGAGAACCATGCAGGAAGCTCATCTTCATTTAAAGAAAAGGAAACAGTTGATACAAATAATAAAGATGAACAGATTCCCTTTTACATCCCTGATAAAATTGACCTACATAGTTCACTGGCACTGAAAGCAAGAGAAATAATTGACGAAGTCATTAACTCAGCCAAACAAAAGCTGACATCCAATCAGTGGCAAGGCAGCGAGAGTAAAAAGCCTTCTGAAAAGCTTGAGCCTAACCCTAAGGCTGAAACCCCAAAGATTTTAAATCCAGATACTAAATTATCTGCCAAAACACAGGAATTAACCAAAGAAACAACAGAGAAGGTGGAGGCTCAGAGTATAACTGTAAGCACTGAAAAAGCAGATTACTCAGACTTGCCTTCGTTTCCAAACAGTATGGAGAATGGCATACATTGTCCCGAAAGAGATGAAATAATGCCAAATAATGTATTTACGTGCCAAACAAATGGGTTTCTTCCTAATGGCAGTTTAGGAAAGGCAGAATCTGACCTTATGCTAGTAGCAAAAGGGAAGAATACTGAAAAGGTGTATGGAAATATGACTGCCACAGAGATTTGTGGCAAAGATAAAGTATTGGCAACCAGTAGCAAATCTGATGTGTCTTTACATTTAATAAATAAACATGCAGCTGTGGCTAAAGAGATGTTTCTGCCTTTGGACTTAATACACTCATGCAATAGTACAAATACGCCAGAGCGCACATTGCAGCCGACTCTAAATGTTAATGTGTCATCTTTTATGCCTGATGAAGAAGATATCAGCATGCGTAATGAATCTAAACACAAAAGCCGTCCTCAGAGTTCTCTGGAAAGCATTGCAGAGAAAAGTCTGTATGAGCACTGTGAAGGAGAGGCTGCAGAAGAAGTATCTGCAAAAGTAAGAGAAACTTTAGAAGATGTGAAGGCAGAGAGCAAGGAAGAATTAGCAGAAGGAGCAAGTGAGGTAACACAGGTTGATGCTGGATTAAATACACAGTTCACTGCATCTGAATTGCCTGCTATTGGAGAGGACAGTGAAGGGGAAAATCATTTCAACTTTGCCCAAAATAATGAGACTCTAAAGCAGATGCAAATGGAAGATGGTGACATGCAAAAAGGTGGTCATCTCAAGGAAAATGGTTTGGACTGCAGTGATGACTTGGAGGAATCAGCAAATCTTTTGTCCTTCTCTCCACCAATTGAACAGGGAGAAAACAGTTCTTTTACTATAATTTATGAAGGTGCTCTTCAAACTGAGAACAAATCCGTGTCCACTGATGAGCTGCAGGCTAGCTCCCGCTCTTCTGATCTTTCGTTAGGTAACTTAGGTCATCTCCTGATGTGTGAAAGAGCAGAGAAGAACCATGAACCAGCCTATGCTTATGAAAGGGATAACAAACCAAACGAAGCAATGGATAGCCGTGGCTCAGAGTCCTTTCTGAATGTAGAGGCTAAGCGCTACAGGATATATCCTTTTTCACTGTCTCCGATATATGAAGATGACAGCTCCCAAGAAGACCTGCTATCCCCAGATGTGTCACCAGAAGGTCTTCCTAGTGGACTATCTAAAGATAATACTGACCATCCTTCTGTGCTGTCCCTTCTACAGTCAGTTTCTGAGCGCTTGCAGTTTACTACTCAGCTTAGTGAAGAGGAGGAGGAGGAAGAGGAATCATTTTATGGAGAAAACAGCAAAGAAGAATGTGTGTCCAGTCAGTGGATAGGGAATTTAAAAACAACTTCTCAGTCAAATGACCAAAATAGGTCTTTTTTTCCTGAACAAACACCTTTTCTTTCAAAAGAGCAGCTGAACTCTATGGAGCAGCCAGAAGTGTTTCCAGATGCCACTTCTCCCACTCAAGCATGTTCTAAGCCAGTTTCACAGAAAGTTGATGCTGCTGCAAAGCTTACTTCTACAAGTGTGTATTACCAATATTTGCAATCTGCCAGAAATTACTCCTCAGAGAAGGGAGCCCAACTTGGAAGCATTCTGCAGGATATGTTGCAGCCAAAGAGTCATTGGTCCCAAGACTATGCCTTGCCAAAATTGGGAGACTTGTCAGCGGTAAGATGTTCTGTTATACAATATTAGTAATCCAAGTGATTCACTCAGGTTGTAAGGACCATCCACTTTTAAGGCAAATAGAATTACATTGTTTAAGATCGCAGATTAAAAGAAAGTTTTCTGATAGAGTGATTTAAAAAGAATAGTATTATGGTTCAGCAAGCAAATGAAACGGTGGCTTAAAATTGTAAAAAGGGAGATGTATAGGAATAAAAATTGTTACAGGAAAACATGTACAACTGCAAATATGTATAACAGCAAAGCGCAAATCGTCCATGTTGATGACATTTCAAGCTGGAAATCACAGACTTGATTTTTCTATGAAAGTTGTTGTCTTTCGTTTCTTCCCCTTTGAGGTTAGTTGAGCTGTGTTATCCAAAAATATGATTTTATGATTACTGAGCTATTTGGTTCTTTCATTACAAATTCTGTAAGTTATAGCTTAGTTAGCAAATAAGTAATCTAGCTCCTTCTATACATTCCTTTTTAGTTTATTTAAAGCAAGCTTAGATGAGGGGATGGAAACATTCTTCTGATATTTAGGAATGAAACAGGCTGCATAGATCCAGTGTGCAGTGGAAGAAGCAAGTCTTCCTGCCAGATGTTGGTTATCTTTTGTTCTGTTGGAGGGTGTTGCCGTTCGCTGTCTCCGGCCGCGCGGTCTCCGGTCTCAGCTCTCGGCAACGTAACGTGTTCGCCCGGAGGTCGGGCTCTCCGGGGCCATCCTACCCCGCTAGGGGACAAACCACATAACACCAATATGGTTGAATAATCTGTCTATATTGTGTGCTGCTGTTATAGCTACTAATAGTTAATTTTCCATATCCTTTTAATTTCAGAACTTCATTGACAGGGCAAGTCTCAAATACAATCCAAGACCAGGAAAGGTAAACAGAATTTCTTTGTCACCTAGATCAATAAGAGTGGAATAATTTGTCATATCAAAAATAGTAAATGGGAAGCATTTAAAGTTGATAGTCTAATTTTCTTTTTTTTAATGCTGCATATGTTTGCACATGCTAATGAAATGCAATTATAAAATCAGAAAAGAATATGAAAGTACTGACAGGGGTAATTCTACTATATTACTTTGTCAGCAACTCCTTTTTAGGTTCGGTAGTATTTCATAAATGAGGAAAGTGTGTGCTCTATTAGTTGAGTCAGCACAAAATGAAATTAGTTTTGTTCCAAGTAAAAATTAACTGTGTACCCTGTGTGTTGAAATGGGCCCTGATTTATATGCATTGTGTGTTTTTTCAGATTATTATTTATGACATTCATGGCGACAAAAGTAAACAAGAAATTCATTCTGATGTGCTAGATACCACATCCTGGATCTTTCCAATTGGAGCGTTACTTAGGATAATTAGAGGATGGTAAGAAATGCAGGTCATATGTAAATCATTCTAAAACACTATGTATGTGTTTTTCTTGTATTTTTAAGTCTTCTATTTGTGACACACATCTAATCTGCAAGAATGCCTTTTTCCTTGTTTATAATGAGACTGATATCAATAAAAAGGCATGAAAGGCATGATGCTTTCAATAAATATAATAAATAATAAATGAATACATAAATAAATAATAAAATGCTGTAATACATTTTTTTCTCTTGGGAACTAGATTTAAACAGAAAGTCTCTTACAGAACCAAAGATAAGCTTAGGTTTCTTGCCTCAAGTGGTGAGTCCATATGCTGCCATAATCATCACTGTATGTATGTGTACACCAAAGCAATTTTTTTAACAGTTGAATTCTGTTATACAATAGCTGTTTTGAAAGGACTATAAAACATACAAGTACAGCTGTTACTTGAAATGTAGCATCCATACAGCACATTAAAATTTTAGACTTTTTTTTGTATGTTCCTTCTTTCTGCATACTTTTTTTTTCTCCTAAGACACTGAATATTATATGTTTTAAATAGTTGATTAATATACTTGTTGTAGTAGAATAATTCTTTTTATTTGCATAGGTTTTTAAGCTATTTTGTATACAGTTCAGTTTTTAAGTTATAGTTTATATCCTGGTGGAAATATGTGTTTTATTTTTAAAGCACAGAAATAAAGGGCCAGCCCCAAATTTGCCCAAATGAATGTGACTACACCATTCTACTATTGAGGTACAATGTAAGAAAGGACTCGTAGTGAACTTAATTACAGGAGCTATTCAGGAGTTCTTGGCAAATGTGCAGTATTAGGACAGTTTTATCTAACAGCAATTATTCGGTTCATGATTTTATTATTACAGCTGGATATTTTATGAGAAACCAAACTTCCAGGGTCGAAAATATGTACTAGAAGAAGGAGAAACAGTTCTGGATCTCCCTTGGGATCTTCCAGGCATGAAACATCGTCGACGAAATCTCACAGTTGGTTCAATCAAACATGTGACGAAGGTATGGGCTTTGTTCATATATTGTGTCACATTCAGACTTAATGTCTGTTGGCAACAGTGGTGTATGAACAACGTGTGCATGCTGTGTTTCTGACTTTATTCACACTTCCTATGAATTGCAGTTCTTAGTTCAAGATAAATCACAGCGTTTGATTGCTGAGGGTTTATTACTTGTTGTTCCTTTTGTGATGTAAATATCTCTTTCTTCTTAAATATAATGAGCAAATACATATTATTTTTGTTTGCCTTTATATGACACAGTTGCTCCTCTCTTTAGATATTTAGGTGTGCAATTAATTGAAATGAATGGGAATAATTCATATTCTTTACTAAGAAATGCTTAACTTAAGCCTAAATTACCTACAGTATGCATATGTCTTTTGGAAATTAATAACTGAGATTTTTATCTCTTTTGTACAGCATAACTTTCAAAATTGACGTATTTCCACGTACAGCTTTGTTGTGAGTTGGATTCCACAGGCTCTGTTGAGGCACGTGGTGCACCTACAGCATCTGGCTCTGCGTGCAGCCAGAAAAGTAAAAGGCATTTTGTTTGTAAGATAGGAATCAAATGCCTGAAATTAAATATAATGCATTCATTATTATTCAGTGAATGAGGAATATATTTACCAGATCTTGTGATTTAGGAAGAATTAATGTTCTTTTTGTTTAGCATAGCATTCTAGTTATTTACAGGGCAAGGGCTCCTTATTGTGAGTGAATTATCATTTGTATTGCAATGTGAAAATGTTTTAGAAAAAGTACTGCTTTTTTGTTTTCTACTGGTATTCAAGTCATTTTATAGTCAATAGTCCTCTGTCATCTGTGCAAGGGCATAATGTCACAACAACAATTATAAAAACTTTTCCATTCTCTTAAAATCATTTGAAAAAGTAATCAGAAGAGATTGGTTGAGGGCATGAACAATGAGCTTAATTAGTTCAAATAAATGTTAAAAGCATTTGAAAAACATTGGGTGTGAATATTGGTCAATAATGCACAAGCTAAATGATTAAAATAAATCCATCAGTACTGTGGAACTAGGGTCAAAAGCTGAGGAAAGCTCATTGTGTCTTCAGTGTCTAAGAAAACCCTTGGATAGTAAAGACACTGAGGATAGTTCCATCATGCTTTATAAAAAATCTTTCAAGCTAAGTAGGTTTGAATATTATTCTTTCTTCCACTACGTGGTTCACTTTTTTGGAAGGCAGATTAAAACCTTTTTCATAGTACATTATTTCAATACTTGACACATTATTCCTTGTGTAACTTTAAAAAATTCCATGCAGGTGTACATGTTCAGGAATATTTTTGCCATTAGTCAATGCTGTTACATGGAACTAGTATAGCTGCAGAATTTACTGAGCTGGGTCTTACCCTTTCAGCCAGGCTTTGTAAATGTACTTTTTTTTTTAGGTTTTACTTCAGCTGCCATGAAGTGCTTTACCAAAGTACTACCTTTTAATTTTTTTTTTAATAGGCGTTACATTTCATTGATAAATATTACTCAATTATTTCTCATTCCTGTTGTTTATGTATCATGTGAGCTGTGGGATCATGTGCTTGACTGTCATGTGGGATCATGTGCTTGACTGCTCTGTTGCCATAGGCTGAGCAGGCAGTGGGGTCATGCCTAGTTTGGTCATACTGGCTGTGTTTTCAGGCTTTTCTTTTAATTCTCCTGATGGCTTTTTATTGTGGTTGTTTAGCATCTGCTCAGATGCCTTGAGTTAGCATATTTGAAAATTGGATATATTTGAGAGGAAAATAGCCTAACAACAAGACAAAGACAGATGTTTACTAAAGAAGCTGTAGGAGGTGCATTTAATGATATTTTTATTTTTTACTGGCATATGTTAACGAGCTTAGAAACAATCTGACAGTAGTTTTGTGTTCTGATTTTCCTTTGAGCCTGCATAAAAAGCAGAAATCCTGTTAACTTTGTGGTTAGCTTGTGGCTCAGCTTATTGTGGATACAAATTGGATTCATCCATGGGTGTTTAATTTGAAGGAATCTAGGAGAAAAAAAAAAATCCCCCTAAACAGATTGTGCAACTGGTAAAACTAAAACCAGTCTGAAACGATGGAGAGCCTGAATTCCACTAAGGCAACTTGAGCATCAGCTTAGACTCACAAACTCCAACTCCACGCACAGATTCAATATGGATCCTGCAGAACAGTCAAATTGGTCCCTTGGTATACAGGAAATATTTGTATTTCTTGTGAAATCATAGAGGTTTTTCCATCTATTTCTGGAGCCCTGAAAAGGCTGCTGAATGTCGCTTTCCAACCTGAACAGAATTTCTTAAGTTTCCAGTCTGGATCAATCCAGTAAGCTGCTATTTTGCAAGATAACTGGAGATCTGAAACTGAAGCTTCTAACCTTTCTATCTGCAAGATGATTAGGTTAAGAATAACTGGTTTCCTTGTGAAGTCCTAAAGCAAAGAAGATATTAATTCAAGCAGGGAATAGTCAAGTGCCACAGGAAGACACCCAGCAGCTTCAGATTGTCTCATTGCTGGTGCTCACAGGATCATGTAGGCATTAGTTTTATTATATTACTTCTAGCCATGTTGAGCTTTGTAGTTTGTTGGTGATGATGGGTGGCAGCAAGAGTGGTACAGAACAGGACAACTTGAAGAAGGGCTCTTAGATGGATGAAAGGACTGTACGGATGGAGAGTAAGATGAAAAAAAAATGCTGGGGACAGCATTTGCCTAAGGACAAACTATGTGTCAACAGTAAGATTGTCTAGACTGTATTAGCAAGCAATTGTGTGAGCACCGGAACTAATTAGTCCTAGTTTTCAACAGACTTTTTTTTCTCATCATTGTTTTGACTTCTAGTTGGAGAAACCAGGCTTTAGTCATGCTTTGTCCTGTTGTTGACATAAAAGACTACTTCATTTGAATAGGCTACTTTGTATCACTTCAATCAAGGCTGCTTACAGGTCCAGGAAAATCTACCAGTGCCAAAATTCTTTAGTCCCTCTAGTGCTGCTAGTTCCCTGCACCGGGAAGAAGATTAAATAGCAGGAGACCAGCTGGAGTGGTGTGAAGGCTCTGCATCTCCCACTCCTGAGGTGGAGCTCCTGAGCAAACTAGAGGAATGTCAACGATACATAATCCTTTTAAAACACTTTAACACTTCTGCCAAGAGGCGCCGTGTTTCGGAAGTCTCTGTTCTCTGCAGGCTGGCTCAGATATTCCCCGTACTTTGGAAACACTTTGAAGACTGTAGGAGACAGTGTCGTCTTCGTAAATTCTTAATCATCTTTTGTAATGGTTTGTTACCAAAAGAAGAGAACTCTAGGCTGGCTATGCAGAAATAGGAAGAGAGTATCCTAGAGTGAAGGAAGACAGAGTGGGAAGCTTGTAGGTTGTCACCCATGTAAGCATTTACTAGCTGTGTATTAACATTAGAAACAAACGCCACTACCCAGATAAGACATCTTTCTTTTTGCTGGGCTTTTCCTTCTGTTTTTACCTGATGTGTCAGTAGGTCATGAATATGACATGAGTTTGGACTGCTTGTGATGATGGAAGTTGGGGGAGAGTAGGGAGAAAACTTTCCAGCTTTGGATCTGGCCTGATAACAATTTTGCGTGTAGGTATCTTACTTGAAAATCTTGACGCCTTGAAAATGAAAGAGCTTTGGACTGAAGGATCTTGTTTTAAACCTGAATGCTATCATGTTCGTGTGGTTTTAATTTTGTTTTAAAGGTGGTAGCTTTATTAAGAAAGTTAAGGAAGGCTCTGAAAGTAATGATGCCTATTAAATATGCTCAGGCAGATTTGAACATGCCGAGGCAAATATTTAACAAGCTAAAATTTACATGTTTAAATAGATATAAATATTATATATAAAATATATATGGCATAGTTCTTGGGTGTACATCTGCAAATAGTGTTCATCTCATGTACTAAAGACTAAGACTAAATTTTACTATTCTCAGCAGCCTGCAAATGAATGTCAGCCTTAATATATGTAAGCTGAACTCACTAAATAAGTCAAATAGTGTATTACTTGAGATACCCTTTTTAAAAAACATAACATACTTCTTGCTCAGATATATTATTGCCTTTAAAAATAGGTATATAAATTGCTTTTGATAATGACCCCACTTTACTACATGACACTTTATGAAAAAACCTTTGTGGACAAATCCAGTAGGCCCATTCATCACAATGAATAGAGTTTATTTATGGCTGTCAACACCTGTCTGGAGGCAGTGATAAATGGGAGGGAGCTCTTTACCACGATTGGTGGTTACCACTTCACCTACCCCATGGAGAACTGGTATGTGTTTCACCTCATGAGGTGAAGGAGGTGAATGAAGGTGCCTCCTAAGCTTCAGAGATGAGACCGCAAACTTGAAAAAATAATAGAAACTGCTTTTTCTAAACTTGAAATGAAAAAAAAAAAAAACAAAACTCCTACTGAATTAAAATTAAGCGTGCTCTGTCTCATATTCTGTCTGGGCCTGCAGGCAAAGATACTTTATTTTGCCACTTGTCTGCTCTTGCAAGCGCTTTATTTGATAATTTATCTCAAACCATTAAAAGCCTTGCATTGCTGTTTGTGGAATTCCTATTGATGCTTATAGAACTCCTAATTTTGCTTATCAAAACTGTATTGTTGGGTTCCCAGATTTCAGCACACATAATGTAGATGCAGCCTTCCTTAGTGTACAAATGGGTAGGAGTAAAAAAGACATTCTGCCGTGGAGACCTTAGACCATTTATGGCCTACTTTTTAGGAAAACCACAAATAACCATATGTTGAAAAGCAATAGGTTGTGTTGGAATAAAAACATTAGATATAATTAGGAGAAATGAACCTCAAAAATGTTTTAACTGTGATTTAATAAGATTAATGTATTTATGAAAACTACAGTGAGACTTTTTTCCCATTTACCTAGCATGCTTTGAACCTTCAGTGTTTTGCTATAAAGCAGCATTTTACTAGAGAGTTTCCTCCTGGTCTTTTATCGTTCTTTTATCGTTTTGCTTATCTGATGATAAACGTTCTGATATTGCTTCCTCCCCCAAAACAAAGCATGCATTGTTTGTATTGTGTGTATTGTAAGGAGAACAGAAATATGATTGTTATAAGAGAAAGAATTAAAACAGCGCATTGTGGTATTTCTGGTTTTCTGAGCAAAGTAAGTAACTTACTGAAGTATATATATCAGGATAGGGGTCTCTCTAGGCTGGTCCAGTACTTTGACCTAATGCAAATGTAGTCATAGATGAAGAGGATAAGGGGAAGGGTGCTGAGAAATGAAGGTTTTCTTCTACTTGGTAAGCATGCAAGCACCTTTCAGCTAACAGAAAGACTACTCTCTTATGCACTGCTGAATGTTATAGAAGATCCTCACTGATTCATGGTGTGCTTGAATGGTGGAAAAAAGTAGTGGCAATTCATTTTGTATAAATATTATGAAATTCATATGATTTAATAAAAACTCTGTAAATTCTAGGCTAGATCACATGTTCAACAAGTTTACCTCCAGCATGATAAACCACCAGATAAAAACCCCAGCAAGGTAACAGACTATTGTTCTGTAGTAAGAAGTTAAGGTGCCTACTTAACAAAAGAAGTGCTTCCAATACTGATTTTTTAACTGTTTTTCTTTGTCTCTCTTCATCTGAAATGCTATAATTATATTTATCATGAGAGAAAATTAAACTCATACCTGGAAACACACTTGGATGCATTACAGAGCTTGATTATTACCTGGGGAGAGGAAAAATGGAAGTAGTAGGCATTTTACAAATTTTACCTTTTTACTAATATAGCTATGTATCTCAATGTGTGTTATGGTAGCACTGTCTGTAAAATTAAAAGTAGCCAAATAGACATAAACACATAGCTTTTGTTCAAAAATTAGTGGCAACTGGAAATTTACTTCACTTATCTTTTCCTAAAACCCTGGGAAAAAAAAAAAAAGGACTTCCATGTCATAAAGTCCACAGTTAGAGAAGATGAGAAGAAAGGAAAAAAGACAGAAACATAACGGCTCGTCTTCCCTCAATGTGGCAGACTTTCCAAGGTGGATAACCTATACCGTTTGTGTTGTTTCTCTGTAGGATTGCAGCATTCCAGAGGTGGAGTTCAGTCTGGGAGCTGGCGCAGAAGGATTTCCCATCTGCATACAAAGTGCAGTTGCCAATTTAGAAGAACTGGATGTTGAAAGAAACCCTTATATAAGGGTTAAATCAGGGGTGTGAGTACTTAATCTTTTTTTTATACTGTTTTGCAAGCAGATAAAAATGACATCATGAGGTAAAAGTCCATCAGAGCTAGGAACAATATTTTGATTTCTTGCTGTAGAGCAGTTAATATATACTACATATGTTAACTGCTAGTTAGATAACATATACTAGACACACTACACTTCACACCATGGCATGTAGGCTCCTATCTGTAGAACCAAATTCTCAAAGGCCTCTCACTGTTGGAGGAAGAGTTTTCTATAATTCTGTTATTGAGTATTGGGTGAAGCAGCAGCAGCGGGACTGATATAGAAGCCTTTTCATTTCTAAGAGACAACCCTAGGTAAAGTTTCCTGGAAGTGTCTCATCCTTACTGCTGACATTTGTATTCTCATACTATAACAAGCTGCTTTTTTAAAATAAATAAACGAAGTGGTAGTTTTCTGCTCTTTCATTTGCATTTTGCTTGCACCGAGGAGAAGTAGCTGAGATCTCAGTGTTGAAGTTGCCATTATATTACAATATAGCTAATCTTTGATATAATTGCAGTATCTAAAACACATTGCCTATCTCTACTGCGTACAGAAAGAAACAATTTTAATATGAAGACCATTGCACTTGCTATGTTTCTGTTTGGATTAACAAGTCATTTACTCTGATTTTTATAGATGGCTTGCTTATTCAGACCTTAATTACAAGGGCGAGATGAAAATTTTGGAAGAAGGCAATTCTTCATCTGAAATTCCTTCAGCAGATGTTAAATCCCTACGTCCTTTGAAAATGGTAAGGAATTTGTGATTCCCTAAAAAGCTGTATGTATTCATTTTCCTATTGTTGCTTCTTCAGTCATTTTGGTTTAAATCTAACTTATTTTCTAGCATCCTTTCAGGGTTAATCCTTACATGCATAACATTCCTCTCATGCCACAATACGGTAGCATGTTGTAGTGACATGGTGTTGCTTGTCCTGAAGGTTGCTTTTTTGTCTTCTTTTTTTTTAGGGTGGACTAAAGGTGCAAATGCCTATGAATGTAAAGGTAAGCACTGAGAGCACTGAGGACACTGGAAATATAAAGCTATTTTTAGGTCTATTTTGTTTTCACTGGGCATATGCTGTTTAATTATGTGTTTTATATTTGCCTGCTGCTGAAGGAAAATTCAGTAACAGTGTCAAATCCAATTCTTACTAGTGTTTCATGTAATGTAAAAGAAGTGATGGTTTCTTCTGCCCAACTAAGAGAAGGTGAATTTGCTGTAGAAGAATTGTGAAGCTTTTGCCTTTAGAATGACTTTTTCCAATGGACATATCTATTGTTTAAAAGGAAAGGTGTTGGGAAAGATTTTCCCATTCAATCTGCCAACTTGACATTTTTTAAAGGATGGGGAGAGGAGACAAAAGGAATAGGACCCTTCCTATACTTGAGCCTGACACAAGAGTCAGGAGTGGGACTATGAACCTTCTCTGATTTGAGGAGCAGAAAGTTAACCCAGAATTATTGCTCCTTTATCTTCCCTTTTCTAGTTCTCCATCAAAAAGCTACTGTTTTATTTAAAGTTTGAGTCTTGCATGTGTTTGTAAAATAGTTTTTCTAATAACTATTGTGAATAAAAATGCTGTTGATAGGAGATCTGTGTAGTGCAGCAGGTAAGGAACAGGAGGTGTTCACTGAATTCAGTCACTCAAATGACTTCAGCAAAGTGCAGAGAAAGGCTTCTTGGCTAGTTTCAGAGAGCTCATCCAATATGTCCAACTATGACATGATAGGATTCACTGCAGTCTAATACATATTGCCCAGATGGCGTATGGCAGTCTAAATCATAGACCCTTAACTACAGAATGCTATTATGTATATAGAATGATGTGAATTAAGTATCCTTGTGTGGAAATGCCTATAAATAATCTGACAAGCCTACCTAAGTTGGAGTTTGGTGTCTTCAGCTCCCAGAGCAGCCAAAAATCAGAAGAGCTCTGGAATGCAACACTAAATTTGGTTCATAGTGAGAGTTCGTTGGAGATACTGGGTGAAAAAAGAAGGTTTCTTCCACATGTTGCAGCAGTAGGCTTACTCAAACTTCAGTTTACTAATGAGAACATATTCAAGATATTGTTTGAAATTATGTTTCCTAGATAATAATATATGAGAAAGCCCACTTTGGAGGATGGTCCAAAGAGTTTTCTGAAAATATTGATTCTGTCCCAGCTGTGTTGGGTAATGCAGAGGAGTTTCAGGAAATCGGATCAGTACGTGTTGTTGGTGGCGTGTAAGTGTATTTCGGTTTTGTTGTATTTTTGTACCTCCAAAACCAAAGATAGTAACTAAATACTAAAAAGTGCTTGCTAAACAGTGGTTAGAATTAGTCTCTAATATGCTGTTAATTTTGCAACTATTGGGAAGCTTTGTGACAAAGGTCAACATTACTTTGATACACATTACTTAATTTAGCCAAATTGCTTTATTCCAAAATCTAGTAAAATGTATGAAGAAGAAAGGAATGTACATTTCTCATGTCAGTTACCAGCCTTGGATAAAACTTACTCTCCATGCAGCTCAGCTACCTGAGGAAACACAGAAAGGGAAAACAAGGTGTGAGAGCTGTGGAGTCTGTTTATCACTCAAATGCCGCTTTGTTGGCCACTTTGTTCCTTAATTACAGTATTCACAGAGAGCTTTAATTTGTACTGATTTACATTTCTGATAGTCTCTGCTTAATTTGCTGGAATGACCTTGGGTACATGTGGTCGGTCTTTGATTTGACATTTTAATGCCTCTGGAATCTGTAAACTGTTTTGTTATCAGAACATTTTTTTAGTTCGATGGCTGTTGCATGTTATCTAAAATTAAGGATCCACTCTTATTTTCCTTTCCTGAGATGTGGGATTGATTCTGTTTTGTCCTGTCTCATTTTCTCATGCAAAAAAAAAGGCTGTTTAACGCAAAGGCAGATACTTTGGTGAACCACTCAAGAGGTAGTCTCAGGTCCAGCTATTTTAGCTGCTAACTACACATTGTACTTACACCCTTTCTCCAAACCCATCAGTTTAACTAAGTATTTGCAAGCATACAAAACAGTTGCTTCTGCCAAAGAGCTTAGCAATAAATAGTTTTCAGTAACATTAATTTGTTCTTAGAGAGGGTTCAGTGTTAATACTTCAGTATAAAGATTTGATAAAGACATTCTTTCACTTTTAGGTTATTGTCAGAATCTCACAAATACTAAATTTGCAGTAAACTTAATTGTGAATATGCAGAGAATCTGTTCAAATAAATACATGTATTAGCAATCTGGGAAGCCTCAAGTTATTGAAAATCATCCTTTTGTCTATTGTGGCTTCTTTTCTTTTTTAATGCTGTGGTATTGTAAACAAATTAATATAAACCAAGCGCTGTTTAAATTAAAGCTGTTCCTGCCTGCCAAATTGCAGCACTGGCAGAATTTGTACAGCAGCTCTAAATACTTCCTCAAGGGAGCTTTAATGCAATACTTCAAAATAGTATTATTCTCTGTAGTACAGATATATATTAACTATGCAACATATCCTATATGATCAATTCAGCTGGCTCTATCTATAGCATGCATATATATACACATGTTTGCATTTATACATACACCTACATGTTTTTGGATTAAAGCAGAAAACAATTTAAGTTACCTGCTGAAATCTATGAAAATTTTGTCACTAACTCCAAAATAGGTAGAATCTCCTTATCTTTTAAGTCATTGAAAAGATCAGCTGCAGGTTCTATCCATGGAAACTGGTGACTAGTAGTGTTTCGGCTGCTGAATATGTGAACCTCTGTAGTACCACATATCAGTATTAGGAATATGGCTCATGGAAACTGGTGACTAGTAGTGTTTCAGCTGCTGAATATGTGACCCTCTATATCACATATCAGTATTAGGAATATGGCCGATGAGAGGAGGTACATCAAGAAGTGCTTCACGAATAAACTGTTGTTGGAGAAACAATTGCATGATGGAATTTTATTCCACAAAGAACCCTTCAAGGGGGTGCTTGTGACTTCAAGCAACAAGCATTGCTTTGTTAGCTGAGCCTGTGATAATCATCTTAATATTCTTAAGATATTTTTCCCCTTTTATTTGTTATGCAAAATGATGTGTGATGTTTTTTGCTTATTTCTCTTTCTCTTGCTGTGTGGTTGCTGTAGTTGGGTTGCCTATGGCAAGGAACGCTACAAAGGTCGTCAGTACCTGCTGGAGGAGGGCGATTACGCGGACAGACACTCGTGGGGAGGAGCCGACAGTGCCCTGTTGTCCTTCCGGTTCCTTCAGGCTGTAAGTACTAGATTTTCACACAACCTATGCACAGTTCCCTACATAAAAAGAAAGCTCTCTGAAGTTTTGTCATTCCTTCATTTGCACAAGTTCACTCCTGTTTTCTTTCCCCTTTGCTGAAATTTCCACTGTAGTCTATACAGTGTAAAGCACAAACAGTTTCTAAATATTCTGTTCTCAAAGACTTTAATTCCTTGTTTCCTTGGTGGATTTTCCAAGTATCTCACTTCTGCACTTTCAGCTATTCAAAACTCTAGAAGTCTCTTAGAACTTTAAAATGCATAAGGGTATAGTGCAGTTCTTTATTAAAATAAAAATAGCTCTTCAACACTACAGCTGTTGCAAAGTTTTACATCATCACCCTCTATATCTGTGTTTTGATGCCAGAAAATTTTGGCAGCACAAGTTATCATGGTGAGAAAATCCCTGTTACTAAAGCATTTATGGGGGGCAGTGATGAGATAATCATAAAATCTATAACAGAGTATATAGTATTGGAAGCAATCTTAGTCTTCTGAGTGATGGGGAGACAGGATTACAACTTCTCTATTATTTCCTGTAGTGGGATGATGATGATGATTACTGAGCTTTAAATGGAGCTGCTCAGAGTGGTTTTCTTCTGAAAATCAGATTGTTCACTGTGAGATCACCTAGCCTTCCTGATTGTGATTGATTGATATTCCTAAGATGGAAATTTTCTGAAGTTTGAAGGTAGACATTTAAAGCAAACTCATTGCTTTGACAATCCTTATAACAAAACTAATTAATGAGAACAAGAATAAGCTATGCTTAATCTAAGAGTTTCCAATTTTGATTTTAGGAAAGGCACCTAGTAATCACTATATAATCAGAATTTATCATTTAACCTAAATGAAGGTGTGAGAGTTCACTGAACTGAAGAAAAATCCCGTGTCCTTCTATTAATAATTTATTTTGAGGTTTTTGAGAAAACGGGCAGGAATTTTCTTCTGACTCTTGTTTGAATGCGCAGAATACAATTCAGCTAGTGACTAATTTTAACCTTTCTTACTTGTCAAGCCATACCTAGGATACTTGAATAACTTAAATTGATCATTGTAAGCCTCCATTCAGCAAATCCATAATTACAAGCCTAAAGTTATGCACATACCTTCCACTTATATGCATATAATTAATTTGACTCAAGCCTAGAGCAGTCAGGATACTCAAGTCATTGGAACTAACATCTTAAAAGCATGTAATTCATGTAGCAACATATGTCATTCAAAATATGTATATATAGATAATGAAAGTGTAAATACTACCTTTCCCCAGACTGTGTCTTCGATAAAAGAAAAGAGATGATTGTAACTGGAATCAATAAAATCACTAGCAGCAGCAGTGTTTTGTTTTTTGATTTGAGCAACAGGCTGATTGCCATTCTCTGATGTACAAGCTGTAGGTCAGTGTCCAGGCTTACCACATGCTCACTCTGCAACCTCGTATACACCGGTTAAGGCCATGATTTTAAAAAACTCTTTTGGGGGGATCTAGACAAAAATCCCAAACCAGTGCCATATGCTTCAGGTCCCTAGCTGCACAACAAACATATTAGCAGTTCTGCATCGTCTCAGGAAGTCTGTAAATATAAATGTGGTAAGGCGATGATGTGGTGGTGTGATACTGGTCAGAGGGGGTGGGAGCTGTTAATGGACACATCACCTTTATTTTTCTGGCTTGGCAGCTCTGTTTTAGTTGGATAAATTCAAGAGTCTCTATAGAGCATAATGGAATTTGTGAAAGGCAGCCAACTTGCATTACTTGTGGGCAGTTTACCAAGGGACTGGGCACTGCCCCTGCTATTTATGTATACTCACCAGGGTAATCTCATTCAAAGGCCGTTCAGATTCAGCTAGGCCTGCTTGCTCAGCCATGCCAACAGGTGGCTGTGACTGCTGGCTTTAAAGCTAGCTCAGGTCTGGAAGCAATTTAGCCTGGCTCGTGTGGCGTGAAGCTCGTAAGCCCCTAGCTACCTGAGTCAGCTCCAGTGCGCTCGCATGTCTCTGCACGGTGCTCCTGAGGCCAGGAGCGTGGTACAGAGGCACGTAAACGGTGCTGCGGCGAGCCAGGGCGAGCACGGCGTGCTCTGTTAGCTGTGTCGGGGCCAGCTCTGACGGACCTGCTTTAGTGCTGTGCAAAGCTAGTCAAGTGTTCCTGTGCCACAGCGCTCAATATTACGGGTTCCTGGAGAGCTTATTAGCGCCTGGCGAAATCTGAGCTGCGTTCCTGCACGCGCGCCAGAAAGAGCATTTGCGGTCGAGGCATGATTTTAATTTCCTGACCCACCAGAAAGGTTTTTCACCGTGCACAAAGAGGCGTTGCTGCAAGTTGTCCTCCCCATCCACTGGTAAAGATGCAGGTGCACTGCAAGAGCTGTTCAGTTTTTGGCTGCCTGAAATGTTTCTTCTGATATATACTGTGAACTGTCACAAGCACTACTATGGGGATTCAGGGAGTGTTTGGACAGAAGAGGTGTAAAAGTCTTCTAGAATTGAAGTTTCCAGCGTACTGCCAGCTCTGTTATTGGGATCTATATTGGATGCACTGGAGTCAAATACCGAGCGTGTTCCTGAGGGAGGACAGCGATTTGTACTGGGTGCTGGTTTGGGAATCAGCTGCACTGTTTTCTCATGCAGTGTGTCGTGGGAGAATCTGTCGAGCAGGTGTTTGCCAATGGTTGTTGTGGGCACGGCAAGAGCAAAGATTTGTTTTCCAAACAAAAGCACCAGTCTGTTTCAGTGGAGCCAAAGGTGTTTTGACACTGAAGTTTTCTCTTTCTGTCTTATCTTGAAAGTCCATTATTAAGTATTTCTCACAGTGCTTATTTCTGCTTATTTCTCACACTGCAGCTTACAAGATGCTGCAGTGAAAATTAAGGGAGAAAGAGGAACCCAAATTCTAACATGCATTTCAAGTACAATTCCAATTGTGGGCAAAATTGCATGTTTTACATTGATCTAAAGAGTTGACATACAATTTTGTTCTAAATACCTTCTCAGGTGCTTTATGATTGTTGTCGATTGCGTTTCATTTATACTGAAACTGCATTAGTATTTTTATTTTCTAAAATGTGGCCTGAAACAGCATTTCTTTTTAATGATTTAACCAGGTCTGGCACTTTCATTTCTAGTGTATACCTAGAATAGGTGCAACTTTTAAAATAAATGAATCAAACAGATCATCAAGTTGGCAGGGAAAGCATTTGTACTACAGAATTTGTGTTGTGACTTTTTAGTTTCCTGTAAATGATGCAGTGAGGTTGAGCCATCTGAGTACATTCTTAAATTGCTGTTCCTCATGTCTGAATCCTCTACAATGGCATAATCTGCTCTACAGAGCCTGTGAAAGGTTCACCCAACAGGAAGCAAACACATTGGTGTTCTCTGTTTTCCCAAACAGTGGATGAACTATGTGCATAAAATTGCCAAGTGGTTAAAAGATTGGATATATGGAACTTGAAATTAAGTGATCTAAAGCTATACACTTCATTTAGTTAAGCAGCTAAGCCAAGTGAGAATGTAAAGCATTGTCGCTCAGTGTCAGAAGAGTGAATAGGAGGAAGTGATAGGAAATTTATTTTACTGCCATAGTGGTCAGTTCTATTATAGATGTATCCGAAAACTACAGACACTTTGTGGTGGAAAAATGATCTATGCCTGCCCAGGTGTTGCCAAGTCTTGTCCTCTCTATGATTATTGCTTTGTCAGTGAGAAAGGGAGAAGAACTTGATGCAAAAGTTAGTCATGGAAAATACTAAGAGTGATAATTTATGAAGCTGTTGGAAACTTCCAGACTGAGCTGTCACCATTCGCTTTCTCTTTGTGAACAGGCATCTTTGCCTTAGTCATCCCCTCAAAAGGGAAAGGATAATGCTCAAGGGGGATAGCAGGTTTTTCCTTTCACCAAAGGCAGTATCAGGATGCATAAATTGACAGGCTTTCCGTTAGGCACTCTGATGTCTGAATGTCTCTTAAAGATGTAGCCAAGGGACTTCACTGTTTTTTAAAATGTTACCTCTCAAGCTACAATTCCTTTCCAAAATGTTTTATGTTATGAAGTGTTACTGGACTGTGACAGCTTGTCTCTTAACAACTCTGCTGTCTCTTAGGATTTCATAGAGTCATCAGTGACACTTTTTCAGTCTGATGATGAGGATGGAAAAGCACTGGACATAGTCAATGAAGAAATTCCTGATTTGGAGCAGGCTGGATTTGGCCCAGAGACAAGGTCAATTCTTGTGAGAAGTGGAGTGTAAGTCTACCAAAATACATGTTTCTTAATATCTCTCTCTCTCTCTTTTTTTTAAATACTTTTGGCAAAAAAACAGAGTTTATTAAATGAACTAGATTGCACAAAATTGAAGGAAAAGGCCTTTCATGGACTGGAAGTTGCCTAAAGGATAGGAAGCAAAGTAGAGGGTTTAATGGGCACTATCAAGGATGGAGAAGAGTCATCAGTGATGTTTTTCTGGGACAGGTGATGGGTCTGTAGTCTTTCAATCATATATTCAATTATTTTTTCTCTAGGAAACTTAAGTATAAGAGAAAAGGGAAGCAGTGAAATCTCCAGTTATGAGAACCGACACCATCAGGAGATTCCGAGAAGGATTAGGCAAATCCATGGCAAGCAGATTCATAAATGAGTACTGAAGGGACTAGGCAAGGAGGTACCCACTAGCTTCTCTTAATATGATAGTCCCAGATGCTGGGAAACTGAGAGAGGAGTGGATCCCAGAGAGTGCCCAGGTTAGCATCTTCTCTCTAGCCTCAAAATATTTCTGCCACTGCCAGAGCCAGCAAGATGCGAAAGAGCTCATGGACCATCAGTCTTGCACAGTGGAGTGTTTCTTGTGTTTTTAAATAGAGAAGTTGAGTGGGAGAAGCTGAATGGCCAACCTCTGCAAGCTCTTCTCTTTATCTCATCCTGTCAAGGCTTTCTCATTTGTTTCTCTTTCTTCTTATACCATTTTTATTAAAGAAATCCAACTAGAAAAGTTGGAAGAAAGCCCTGTCTGGGAGAATGCTGAACAGGTAAAGATTGAAGTGGGAGAGATTCAAGTGCTTTTCAATCAACTATCTTTCTTTTGAGCTTCTAAGCAATGCATCAACTCGTGCTGAAAATATATTTGATGGAAAGCAGAGACCTGGAGTGTTTGTTTCTTAAAGTAAGGTTTGCAGAGTAAAAGCAGAAAAACATAGATGTGAAAATTACTTGCCTCTTTTTTAGATTTGATTTTTTTTTAGGTTATGTTGTCTGTCAGAAAGACTCAGCATGAAAAACTCTACAGAAAAATTCTCTAACTCATTACTATTTCTATCAAACTACATAGAAAAATTTAATGTCTTAAGTGTTTTTTTCTATGTCATTCTCTAGGTGGGTTGCCTATCAACAGAAATATTTTTGTGGAGAACAATATGTATTGGAGAAAGGAAAATACAAGTGCTTCTTTGACTGGGGCGGATCCAATAAAATGATCATGTCAATTCGCCCTGTTAAGTTGGTGAGTTATCAGAGTTTGTTAAGGGGAAAACTTAAGAAAAATAAGACCTCTGGAGTCCTGAGAATGCAAAAATGTTTTAATAGAGGCTGGACTGTTTAATCAGCTTGCCCAGTCACCTGGAGATAGGTTAAACATCTTTGTAGGTTGACACACAATCTGTACAGTATGGAGACCTACTACTTATGAAATGCAAATTCTGTCTCATTATGTCTGTTAATTAGAAAATTAAATAATCATGAGGAGAACTTCCTTTTGGCAAACTACATTTACAAAAAGGGATGCCCTTGTCTGGAAAGAGTAATTTACCATGGTAACATCCTTATGTTTAATTGATAATGTATCTTAAATATGTATCTATCCTATGTTATTTTATCCTGTAATAGCAGTACTCTGGGTAGTTTTTTTTTGTTGATGGGTTTTTTGTATCTTTTACTAAAATAATTTTAATGCATAGTGAATGTAAAGCAGGAAATATTTTAAATCCATTTTTAATTTGAAGGTAGTGCAATTTGCCCAAGTCAATTATCTCTAGAACTGTTAAAACCCTAATGCAAAACAGAGGAAATCCCCAGTAATTAGTATATAAAAAATGATACTGCTGTACTGAAAATAGAAAAGGAGCAAAATATTTAACCTTAAATTAAGGTGTCCTTGTCAGAAGAGGTGCCCCAATCTCCTGCCTTCATGAACTGTCTCTTTTTTTAAGAAATAGATTCAAAATAAGTGCAGGGAAATTTACATGGACTCTAATCTATGCTACAGGGGCTAATTAACATTTACGTTACCTTCGTGTATGGAAAAGGACTGAGGAACAAGGGAGAGAGCCATGAACGTATAAGCAGCCAATGGGAGAGTCTCAGAGAAAATAAATGTGCCAAGAGAATAGGAAATATGGATCTTTCTGCTTTTGAATTCTTAACTAGAAAGTTCCAGGAACTTGACGTGTCTTCTGGGGAGCTAATAATAGTTTTATCTATTTGTGTTTATGTTGTATTATTGCAGGAACCTCTTGGAATGAATGAGCCTCCACATTTGGTATGTTTAAATTATATATTGGTTCTGGAAACTTGCCTTTATCTTCCTGTGACTTGTATATTTTCCATTATTTTGTCTTACACCTGATTTATCACCATCTTTTTCATTTATGAGATGAAGGTTAACGAAGTTTTATCTTCAGAAAATTCAACTGCATTCTTCAAACCTGCAGATCTATCATCAGGAGAAGCTTTTTGTTTGTTTGTTTGTTTGTTTTTAATCTTTTGGTAGTGCTT